CCCCCCCCCCCCCCCCAGCATCAGTGTTAACCCCCCCACTCCGCCCGATCTCATCTATTCTCTCGGTCACTTACCGAGACGTGGGCCGGGCTGCCCAGGCTGGAGAAGGAGTCGGCGGGTGAGAAATAGAACGGATCGCCAATGGACGGCGAGTTGCTGCAGCGGGAAGCGGAGTCGTAGTCGGTGCTGAAAGCCTGGAACATTGTGTAGGGTCTCCGGGCTGTCGGTGTCCGCACTATCTGCCTCTCTGTCCCGGTGCTGTCGCTCGATGTTGTTCGCTATCGCTCTCTCCGAGTGTTTGCTGTGTCAGGCTCGGACCCATCGCCTTTTATTGGATTCGCGGCGAATGACGCATCTGGACGGCTCCATCATGTATGGGTGAATGGGGGGGGGGGGAAAGGGTCGTCCATGCAGACACCACAAACACCAGAGAGACAGGACAGAGGAGAGGTTCCGGACGGTCAGAAGCAGTAGAAGTCTGAATCAGCACCATGCCTCAGTGAACGGCCGCCTGAGCCGCGGGAACTGCCGGTTTCGCTTGATCTTGTCAGCTCATTCAACCCGCGCCGAGTTGGTGCGGCCCTGCACCGGGAACCTACTGACGTAGATGCCCTTATTTGGAGTGAGGTCCGGAAAGCGGGAAGCGCGGGGGGAGGGGGTGTGAGAGCGAGCCGGCGGCACAGCAAGATCCCAGGCTGCCAGCCGGGACACTGCAAAACAACAACAACAACAACCGGCTGGGCAGGAGCAGAAAGAAAACTGAGGCCGTCTCTGTAGCTTGGAATTGCAGCCAACCAGCATTCTGCCTCAGTCTCATCAGAGCCACATCTCTCTGTTTGTATCCTCTGTCCTCACATTTAACCTGGCTTCGTCACCCTGTCCCATCATTCGAACATTTATAACTTATTCTCAACTGTCTGTATGCAACGTGTGAGAAATGCGCAGTGTAAGCTGTCTGCCTAGTATGGAATGATATCTTTGCTCCAGATCAGTCTTCATGCATTCACGGGATGTGGATGTCGCTGGCTTGGAGAAGGAGCTGGCTTCTTGAATTGCTGCAGTCTGCGTGCTGCTGGTACATTCAGAGTGCTGGGAGGGCGTCCCAGGATTTTGACCCAGTGACAGTTAAGGAATGCCGATATATTTCCAAACCAGGATAATGTGCGCCTTGTGAATCTTTGCGATTCTCGCTGACAAGCAATTTAACATTATCAGGCGGGCTGGTAGAGTTGTCAAAGTTACGTATAAACACAGGAGCTGTCCACTACAGAAAAAGGCACTGTGCCTTATTTGAAATAACAACAGCACAAGGGACAGGTCCCTGTTGTATATGTTTGACACCTCAACCAATTGAAGTCCAGAGGCCTAAGAATCAGCACACCTTTTCATGCAGTATAAATTATTTCCTCTGAAATTTGTTATTCTTGTCCCTGTCCTGATGACTGAAAAAAGAAACTTCAACAGTGTATCTTTTATAGCAACATTCACACACAGGAATTATTCAGGCAGATGTCCAAAGCTTGGTCAGAGAGCAGCATTTTGAGGAACGTCTTAAAGGAGGACGGAGAGATGGTAACATTTAGGGATAGAATTCCAGACTTAACGTCCAGCTTTCTGAAGGCCCAATCACTGATTGAGGTTGCTCAAGTTCAGTTTTGAGAGCCGCAGACATTGTGCAGCTGGAGGAGACTGTAAGGACTGGATGGGGAGATGGATTTGAGAAGTCAAGGATGGATTTGAAAATAAAAACGCGCATAATTTTAAGATTGAACCTATACTGAAGAAATATTCTTTGAAAATTAAACAGCATTTTGATGTTTTCAGTTCCTCGGATACTGAAGAGGTCCATGTTCAAATGCAGCAAAACATGGACAATATCCAGGCTTGGGCTGTAAAGTGGAAAATAACATTCACATCCAGGCAATGACCATCTCCAACCAGAGAGAATACAACCATTGCTCCATGGTAGTCAATGGCAATGCCATCGCTGAATCCCCCACGAGTGTGGGGCCACATTATAAAGGACCACGGAGAGACGTGAATACAAACAGAGAGTGTAGAAGCAATGCAGAAGAATGGTTCCAGGAATGAGAAACTTCACTGATAAGATAGATTGAAGAAGTTGGGACTGTTAAGTTTTCAAAATCGTGGGCAGAGTAGATAGGGAGAAGCTGTTCCCACCTGTAAAAGAAAAAAGCATGAGAGGGCACAGATTGTTGGATTCTAATGAAGTACCACAGGATTGGAAAACTGCCATGTGACACTCACGATTCAAAAAGGGAGGGAAGCAAAAAGCAGGTAACTATAGGCTGATTATCCTAACATCTATTGTTGGAAAACTAATGGAATCAATTATTTAGGAAGTAATAGCAGAACATTTGGTATTTGATCGTATTAGGCAAGAACTTTCAAAAGTTGATTGGGGGTAGATGGCTGCAGGTAAAGGGATGGCTCGAAAATGGGAATCATTCAAAAATGAGATAACAAGAGTCCAGAGACAGTATGTTCCTTTTAGGGTGAAGGGCAAGGCGGGTAGGTGTAGGAAATGCTGGATGACTAGAGAAATTGAGTTTTCGGTCAAGAAAAATAAGGAAACATCAGGTATAGACAGCAGGGATCAAGTGAATCCCAAGAAGAATGTAAAGGCAGTAAGAATATACTTAACAGGGAAATTAGGAGGGCAAAAAGGAAACATGAAATAGCTTTGGCAAATAGGTTTGAGAAGAATCCAAAAGGATTCTACAAATATATTGAGGACAAAAAGGTAACTAGTGACAGAATGGGGTCCCTTAAAGATCAGCAAGGTCACCTATATGTGAAGTTGCAGGGGATGAGGAAGACACTAAACAAGTATTCTGCATCTGTGTTTACAGTGGAGAAGGATATAGAAGATAGAGAACTTGGGGAAATAAATAGCGAAATCTTAAAAAATGTCCATATTACAGAGGAGGTGGTGCTGAACGTCTTAAAATGCATAAAGATGGATAAATCCCAGGGACCTGACCAGGTGTACCCTAAGTGAGGGAAGAGATTGCTGGGCCCCTCGCTGAGATATTTGTATCATTGATAGCCACAGGTGAGGTGCCAGAAGACTGGAGGTTGGCTAACGTGGATCCACTATTTAAGAAAGGTGGTAAGGAAAAGCCAGGGAACTATAGACCAGTGAGCCCGACACTGGTGGTGGGCAAGTTGCTGGAGGGAATCCTGAGGGACAGGATTTGCACGTATTTTGAAAGGCAAGGACTGATTAGGGAGAGTCAACATGGCTTTGTGCATGGGAAATTGTGTCTCACTAACTTGATTGAATTTTTTGAAGCAGTAACAAAGAAGATTGATGAGGGCAGAGCGATGGATATAATCTATATGGACTTCAATAAGGCATTCGAAAACGTTCCTCGTGGTAGACTGGTTAGCAAGGTTAGATCACAGGGAGAACTAGCTATTTGGATACAGAACTGGCTCAAAGGTAGAAGACGAGGGGCATGGTGGAGGCTTTCTTTTCAGACTGGAAGCTTGTGACCAGCGGTGTGTCACAAGGATCGGTGCTGAGTCCACTGCTTTTTATCATTTATATATGTGTTCTGGATATGAACATAGGAAGTAGGGTTTGTACATTTGTAAATGACACTAAAATTGGCGGTGCAGTGGACAGCGAAGGTTACCTCAGAGTATAATGGGATCTCGATCAGATGGGCCAATGGGTGACAGATGGAGTTTAATTTAGATAAATGTGAGGTGCTGCATTTTGGAAAGGGCAGGACTTACACACTTAATGGTAAGGTCCTGGAGAGTGTTACTGAACAAAGAGATCTTGGACTGCAGATTCATGGTTCCTTCAAAGAAAGAGTTGCAGGTAGATAGGATAGTGAAGAAGGCATGTGGTATGCTTGCCTTTATTGGTCGGTGCATTGAGTATAGGCATTGGGAGGTCATGTTGCAGCTATACAGGATATTGGTTAGGCCACTATTGGAATACTGCGGGCAGTGCTGGTCTCCCTGCCATAGGAAGGATGTTGTGAAAGTATAAAGGGTTCAGAAAAGATTTACGAGGATGTTTCCAGGTTTAAGCTATATGGAGAGGCTGGATAGGCTAGGGCTATTTTCCCTGGAGTGTCAAAGGCTGAGGGGTGACCTTATAAAGGTTTATAAAATCATGAGGGTCATAGATAGAGTAAATAGACAAGGTCTTTTCCCCAGGGTGGGTAAGTCCAAAACTAGAGGACATAGGCTGAAGGTGAAAGGGGAAAGAGATAAAAGGGACCTAAGGGGCAACTTTTTCACGCAGAGGGTGGTGCATATATGGAATGAAGTGCCAGAGGATGTGGTGGAGGCTGGTACAATTGCAACATTTAAAAGGCATCTGGATGGATATATGAATAGGAACGGTTTAGAGGGATCTGGGCCAAATGCTGACAAGTGGAACGAGATTTATAGGGGATATCTGGTTGAGTTGGACTTAAGGGTCTGTTTCCGTGCTGCATAGCTCAATGCTCTATTTAGGCAGAGTCAGCATGGCTTCATGAAAGGGAAATCATATCTGACTAAGTTTCTGAAGGAAGTCTCAACTGGAGTGGATAGAGGGAGCCAGTAGATGTATTTGGATTTCAGAAGGTGTTTCACAAAGGTGTTTTGTGTTCCTCACAAAAGATTAAGTTGTAAGATAAGAGCCCACAGGGTGGAGGTAGTATATTGGCATGGAAAAATAATTCAGTTATGGCAGGAAACAGCAAGTGGGCATAAGGGATTTTTTCAGGTTGGCAACGTGTAACCAATGAGGTTCCACAGGGATCAGTGCTGGGACCACAACCGTTTACAATATATATTCATGACTTGGAGGAAGGAAGTGAATGTACTTGAGCAAAATTTATAGATGATTCAAAAATAGGTGGAAAGGCAAGTTGTGAGAGGGATACAAATAGTTTACAGAGATATTGAAAAGTTAAGTCAGTGGGCAAAAACCTCGTAAGTGGAATATAATGTGGGGAAATGTGACATTGTTCATTTTGGAAGGGAGAATAAAGAACAGAGTATTATTTAAATGGAGGAAAACTGCAGAAAGCTGCAGCACAAAGGGAGTTAGGGGTTCTCGTGCACAAAACACAGAAAGTTATCCCACAGGTGCTGCAGGTAATCAGGCAGATTAATGAAATGAGAGCCCTTATTTCAAGGGGGTTGGAGTATAAGAGTGGGGATGTTCTCCTACAACTGTACAAGGTGCTGGTGAGATCACATCTGGAGTACTGTGAGCAATTTTGGTCCCCTTATTTAAGGAAAGATATAATTTCATTGGTGGTAGTTCAGGGAAGGTTCACTGGGATGATCTCTGGTATGGAAGGATTGTCTTATGAGCAAAGTTAAACAGGTTAAGACCCTACTCATTGGAGTTTAGAAGAATGAGAGATGATTTCATTAAACACATAGGATTCTCAAGGGGCTTGACAGGATAAATGCTGAGAGGATGTTTCCCCTCATGGGAGAGTCTAGGACCAGAGGGCATAGCCTCAGAATAAAGGGGCGCCAATTTAAGACTAAGATGAGGAGGAATTTCTTCTCTCAGGGGGTTGAGTGTCTTTGGAACTCCTTTCCACAGAGAGCTGTGGGGGAACAGGCCTTTTGTACATTTAAGGTTGATGTGTATACATTCTTGATCAGTTGTGGAATCAATGGTAACAGGGAAAGGACAACAAAGTGGACATGAGGAATGTTGGAT